TAAAGGGTAGTTTCAGGTACTGTGGCCCAGGGTTTTTTTCAAATTTTATGCTGTTCTTTTATCAGCCTTAAATGGCAAAGGAAATATTTAGGTTTCATCTTTTAATTTTTTCCCCATGGTGTACCATCAGAATTGACCACTAGGGGGAACAAGTCAGTATCACCTTGTATTTTTCTGTTTCCAAAATAAGGGCACTGCAATGAATTAATAACACACAACATGGTGACTTATTATAATGATAATAACAACCTGGTTGCTGAGAGATAATGAGTAATGCAAAGAGTTCCATTTAAAATATAATATTGTAGGGGGGAAGAATTTGGGAGATTACCTTTTAAAAGTAATCTGTTGCTTATTACTTTTGTTGATATGTACCATCTTTTAGAAGTGATTAATCTAACCTATGAAACGAAACCCATGCTACTGATTAGTGTTTCGTTACTTTTTCAACTACTGCTCTAAAAATGTACGTACTTAGAAATGCAATCATGGGCTAAATATGGAAACTGGTTCTTTGCACAATGGATTGGTAGAGTACAAGATCGATCAGTGTGAAAATTATTTGGAGGTAGCCTGGAGTGACTCGCCCTTGACAAATCATTCAAACTTTGTTCTGTTCTGGAACAATATCTGAAATCACCACGAGAGGAAACTAGAGAGTAAACCTCATTTCTTTGAGCCTTACCTGTGTTTTTCTTATCAAAGCTCTTGAAGGCAGCTGTAAGGTCTGACCTGTGAGCAAACAGTTTCTCCTTCAAGACCTGATATGCGGACTCCTCCACTCGGCTTATCCTGACAGAAAGAAGGAAGCATTTCAGCCGTGTAGTGGGGCATGCAAAAATTTAAGTATTCACACATGGACGGCTCCTTCATCTAGACCAGTGTTATCTCTGTTGAAATGCAACTTCCCCGCAAAGTTTCATGGACAAGATGACTTTCCTTACCCTAAACAGAAAACTAAAATAACATGCACGACTAGGGTGAAAAGCTAGAGAGAATGTGTTCCTCTTGCAGAGTGCAGAAAACACACACATACCGTTTCCATCAGAATCTACAAATTAGATTCTATAGGAAACGATTTTTCCCTCAACCCAAACCACATCACATTTTTTTTCCTCTGCAGAGTCTGCAGCTTGGCTCTCTATACCCAATCACTTGTCATGACATTCAAAGGATATCAAGACAAAAAAATTAAAAAATGGAAGACAACAAATGGTGTGGTGCCTGATGGGCTAACTGTTTTAGGTCCGTGTTAACAAGTACTCTTTAAGATGCCACAACATTTCCATTTTCTAATTTGTTGTTGTAATTGTTGTTTTTACAGTATTTTTGTCTGAATATGCTTGCCTCGACAAACACAGATAACTTTTGCAAATTCCAAGGGTGATTCTGACTGGAAAAAAACACTAGCAGAGACAAGTTTAAGCACGCTTCTCCTCAACGTCACTGCCTCCCCAAGGCGTCTCCGAATTTTAAACCAATAGATCTTATCAAGGCATTTGGACATACACGTGCTCCTTCCGGTGAGCCCGGCTGCTCTCTCATCTAGATCAGCGCTTTTCTGCTGAGAAGCAACCCTCCCTTCCGTGTGACCTGGGACAACTTTCCTTACCAGAAACAGAAATCTTAAAAAATTACGCCAAGCACCGTAGACCTGAAATGGTCAGTTAAGCTGAAGGACAAACTACATTATAGATACCGTGTTTTTCAGTGTATAAGACTATACTTTTGTCTAAAATCTTTAGACTAAAAATTGAGGGTCGTCTTATACACGAAAGTAAGCTGAGGAGAAAAAACAAAGTGGAGGGGAAAGCAGGGATGAAAGTGATCCTGCAGGGCTTTGATCCCTGCTTTCCCCTTCACTTGCTAAGCCTTAGCAAAAGGAAAGCAGGGATCAAAGTGCTGCAGGATGGCTTTGATCCCTGCTTTCCCCCGGGCTTGCTAAGTCCCATGGAGCTTAGCAAAAGGAGGGGGGAGGGATCAAAGCAATCCCGTGGCTGTATAAGAGCGAAAGGAATGAAAATAATTGTGCTGTCATGGAATTGCTTTGCTCCCTTTCCCCCTCCTTCTGCTAAGCCACGCGAGGCTTAGCACAAAGGGAGAAAGCAGGGATCAAAGACATCCTGCAGCACTTTGATCCTTTTTACCCTATGTTTGCTAAGCCCCACTTAGATTTCTTAATTTTGGGTTTAAAAAGTGGGGGTGTCTTATACATGGGGGTGTCTTATACACGGAAAAATACAGTAAATTGTCATAGACCTGAAATCACATCAGTGCTCGAGAGACATGATTCAAGCAGACTTTCATGTCTGAGAAAATCATTTCACCACTTAGATTTCTTAATTTTGGGTTAGAAAAGTGGAGAGTGTCTTATACATGGGGGCGTCTTATACATGGAAAAATAGAGTAAATTGTCATAGAGCTGAAATCACATCAGTGCTTGAGAGACATGATTCAAACAGACTTTCATGTCTGAGAAAATCATTTCAAAGAAAGAACCTATTCACTTCCTGGAGACTAATCACAAAACAAAGGAAGCTTATTTGCAGACTACAGGAGGTGAGAAGAGCTTGTGATTTGACAATCACACACATTCAGCATTTAGGAAATTACATCTAATCACAAGTTACCTATAACGTGTAATTTAGCCTCCAGAACATTTGGCCTAATTTTTTAGCATCTCTGCTTTATCCTCTACCCCTTATGACTTTGTTTCAACTAACCTGACAGAGGAATTCTGGAGAACTTGAATGCGTGCACTTTTTAATGGCATTCTGGCTTGTTTTAGTAAGAGTATTGCCCAACCATGCATAATATTTCTGTCCGCCCCACTGTCATTGTTTCTGCCTCGTTGGCCACCACCCCGGTTAACGTAGCCAGGATACAAGGACTTGCCTTTGTGTCATGGTCAGCTTATGTGACCCCTTACTGGCTTGATACTGGATGAAGTGAGGGGTCAGGTCAGGTCCCATTTTGAGGTAGGCACCCCTGTTACTGCCTACCGTGTAATAATTTGAAGCAGAAAACACAGTGATCACCTAAGAAGTAATAAGAAGACAGGGATCCACAGCCAGTACAAAGCAGCCCACAAGAACAGAAATAGCGACTTGCCAAAACATAAAACACATTTTCTCCCCCAGGTTTTTTTTAAAAACTTCCCTCAATTCTACAATTTGCCAGTCAATATATATCTGCCTGTTTCCTTGTAAGGTCTTTCGGGGGAGAATGAAATGTATTCACTACTAAAGGCACAGTTGCTTAACTTAAAAAATGTTTTTGTTTTGAAGAAATGAAAACACATTGATTCTGGGACGCACTTGGGTGCCCACGTTTTTTAGAAATTCATGAAACACTGCCTTCTCCTTCTGCCCCCTACCAATATTTCCCATTAATATTATTTTCTTCTGTTTCCATTGTGTGCCAAGGCCAGGATCCTGTGAAGGCGACAAGGAGTGTAACGCTCTGTAGGCACAGCGCTCTGCCTCACCTCTGGCGTGCAGTCGCGTGAGCTCATTCTCCCACTATGGAGAGTGGTGGGCCTTGTGTGTCTTCAAGAGGAGAATCATTATGCTCTCCTGTCCCTTGTACAAACGCCAGGAGACGGCGTTTTGCACTCACAACTGACCATTGCTCCATCATGACTGCCACTAAAATCCCAAATAAATAGTCTAGCCTTCTGTCTTAACAATCTTCTCGAAAAAACTGATTATTGCTAACTGAACTTGTTCATATATATGTCAATCAATCAATCAATCAGTATATTGGAACACATATCCTCCCATCCCATTCTCTCAGCCACAGTGCCATTCCCCAAATAACCCCTTCCTCATGGCCCTTCTGAGCTACCTTTCGGTTATGGCAGATGTCGTAACCCTCCGGCTTACACTCGTGGGAGCGGATGATAAACTGAAGATTGTGCTTCTGCAGGAACTTCTCTGTCACATCAGGGCCAAAGTAACAGCCTCCTCCTCGATCATCATTCACTCTACAACCATTTTGCGGGATGGGATCACTCCATAAAACATCTAAAATCTAAAGCGGTAGGCAGGAGCTGAACACATATTGAACAGGTGCCCCCTCAACCAATAAAAAATGTCTGTCTGTCACAACATCTGATTTTTCTTCACTTATTTATCCTGCATTTCTATATTTTGTGACTGGTCGCTGAAAAGTAAACATTGGCTTTATTTGCATATCTGATTGGTGGGACAGGCAAATACGTCTGAGGAAACTTCTATATGAGATGGAAAATGCATCCCCTTAATATCTAGTTTGAGGCTGAGAAGCTCTTAGTATCTAACATCCAAATAGCAGTCAGGTTTAAAAAAATCATTCTCTTCATGCCAGTATCAATTGAATTTGGAAATGCAGATAAGAGAGATTTTTTGTTTTATTTTGCTTCAGATGAGTGTACTAAATTTTGCCATTTGGGACAGAAAATAAAAGAGGTATAAAAGAACATGAACATGAGTGGGAAAAAGCAATATATACAGGTTTTTCTACCCCTAGATACACTGAAAATCTTCCTAAGGCCACCTTCGGAGTAAATCTAGCCCATGTCTACTTGAGGTAGTAAATGCTTGAAGCAAGTAAGTTTACCTGCTGAACGTCATCGTCTTCAGCGTTTCTCGCTTCACAGGCTTCCACGTCCACCTCTGACACTGAAGCAAAAGAACGGTCAGAGGTCTCTGCCTCAGGGAACTCACTAAGTTCTGCCTGCTTGCGACACATCTTCAGGTCCTCCTGCACCATATGCTGCACCCGTTGAGAAAGATCAACCTTGTTTTCTGGGTTAGAAGACCTACAGAAACCACCCTGGACAAATTTGAAATCTTCCGTTGCGTCCACAGATTCTGAATTTCTTCTTTTCTGAGTTAACACTGAGAGAATCTAAAAGGAGGTGAGATAAAGCGATATTTTCAAGATAGGATTGGCAAACCAACATCGTCTAGAAGCAAAACTAAAATTCTCAGCCATGTTTTGAACAGCTCAGGTCAAATCAAAGACTGTGGAGCTGAAGGGGGTCTGTGATAGCATCAAGACTAAAACATGGAAGGTTTCTCCCAGTGGGGAGTCCCCAAAATCATGGATGAGGTTTGTTTGGCTGAAGGAGAACAGGAAGGCCAGGTAGAAAAGCAGTCAAGGGATCTGTGAGGTCTGAGGCTGATTCTCCAGCTAAGGAGGCTGTTACCATTGCAGAGACAGTAATTCGGAACAAAAGAATGGGGTACAAAATGGGCGATCCTAAATATGAATGGTTGCCTCCCACAGTTATTGGTAGCTTGGAGGATGTTTGCAGGCAGTCCAGCCATATCTGATTGCTCAGTCATGATGTATAAAGGATATATATAATTTCACTGTTCCATCTAACTAGTTTTCTGCTTCTGTATCATATCTTTGGATTCTCCTTCTGACACCGTCTTCTGTCTTTCGTTTTCTTTTTCTCCTGGAGCAGTAGTGCACAGCCAGGGGGCAAATAAAACACTCTGGCCAGAAGTCTAAATTGTTTGCTTAGGGAAGTCTGCTGAAGTCAAATGGAAAGCCAGCTGCAAATGCACCCTTGATTTAGCTGTTGTAGCTAACTGTGGTCAATAGAACCATTGTTCACAAAGTTCTCTTTAACCTTTTTAAAATACCATGCCTGGATCTAGAATCCATCACTGCATCCTGCAGCAATGACTTCCAACAGTTGATTATGCCCTGTATTAAGAGCTTGCTTCTCTCAGACATGGGCGAATGGAAAACCAGTTACCTAGGCTGGCTCAAGTCAAATGCCAGTAAGACCATCTTCTGATAGAGGCCTCGTCCAAATAGGGCATAGGTTCTGCCATTTGTTTTGAGTTTTGCAAGGATTATTTTTTAAAAAAATTCTCATGTCTAAAGAGTTCTTCCTATCTCATCTCACACCTCCCTCTTCCTTGACTTTTCTCATCCTCCCAACATCCTTTCTTTATTTTATTTTTGTTTTGCTTTTTCCTTGGGGTCAGTTTGGCATTGTGGCACTTCCCAAGAAGGCCAACATTACATTTTTTTTCAGAATTTCAGCATTTTGAGTTAGAATTTCAACACAGAGAAGCACTCGAGAGCTTTACAGGGAACAACAGTGGATGTTGGCTGGACTTTGCTAAGCACACGTTCCAAGCACGTACAGCACAGAAGTGGAGAAGCAGATCAACAGTAGGTCACCCATTGTTAGAGGATGCAATTCCCAGTAAACCTCATGAACTTCCATCAGAAAGTAGCAGAAAAGGAAGGGAAAAAGCAAAGGTACAGAATGTCCCATCTGGAGGAGCCAGACGTGGTGGTTTTCAAAGGATAAAGAAGAGTCTATACCTTAAACCTGTCAATCTTGGCCAGCCGATCCAAATCAGTAATGTCCGACACTCCTCCGTGGACAATCAAGACCTTCTGGTCAACTAGGGTTGCTAGCGGCAGGCAGCTAAAGAGGCTCTGAAGCACTTTTATAATTTTACTTCCGTGCTCCTAGACGGAGGAGGACAGAAAGAGTAAAGGATGATGGGGCCTTTGGCAAGATGGCAAATATATCATGTTTGCAAGCAGACTTACCTTGTATTTGCGTGTGACCTCTTTGGTGAGACCGTAGCTAGATGCAGAACAGAAGAGAGGGCATTAAGTGGATATTTCTTAACAATAAGAAAATAGCAACCACAATATTCAAAGGATTGGTTCTGACCTATAAAACTTTTTATGACTTGAGGCAAACCATGTTTTCAGATATTTAAGAGGTGCCTGAAAGAGTGGGTTGCAATCCATGGACGTTTATAGTGAAATCCATTTATTCATCTAAAAGATTCCACAAAATTTTTGTTTTCTGTTTCTCTCACAGCCATAAATACTTAACTCTCAAACAAACTGCACCAGATCACAGAGTGCTGTCCTCTGAAGATGCCGGCCACAGAGACTGGCAAAACGTTAGGAAGAACAACCTTCAGAACACGGCCAAAGAGCCCAAAAAACCCACAACAACCATCTAATAATAGTACTTTTTTTCGTTGTCAGAATAAGATTTCTTTTCTTAAGATCTCTTAAACCTATGTTTTAAGGCCCATGATATTTACATGGTTTTCACTACTGTACAGCAGGACCCCTTTATCTGCTGATTCATTTATCCACAGTTTGAAAATATAAAAAAATTTTAAAAGTAAAATTTTAGAAACGTACAGTTGTGCCGCGCTTAATGATTACCCTGTATAACTTAGAATCAACTTCACGACAATGTTTTTGCGATCGCAAAACAATGTTTTAATGGGTTTTTTTCGCTTTGCGAAGATCGGTTCCCTGCTTTGAGAACCGATTCTTCGCATTACAGCAATCAAAACAGCTGATCGTTGGATTTTCAAAATGGCCACCAGGTGCTCAAAATGGCTCCCTGCTGTGTTTTTGGACGGATTCCTCACTCTTCAGGCACCAAAAAAGGTTGCCCCTATGGAGGATCTTCACTTGATGGTGAGGTTTTCAGCCCATTGGAACACATTGAACAGTTTTCAATGCGTTTCAATGGGCTTTTTAATTTCACTTTATGACGTTTTTGCTCTACAGCGATTTCACTGGAACAAATTAATGTCGTTAAGCGAGGCACCACTGTATATTTTTAAAGATGAAGTTACAAGAACTGTCCACTTGGAGGCTGAAAGAGACCATGCTATGCATAGAGTTCACTAGAGAAATATATTTCCACAATGTCATTACCATAACTGGCCACCAGAGAAAGCCAGATACCATGCTATGTGCAATGTTTACTATTAAAATAGTGTTTGCTATAATCCAAGTTTTCCAGCATCTGCGGGAGAGCTTGCGTCTGATCCCCCTACAGACAGGGGGGTCCTACTGTATTGGGTTACTTTAGCTTTTCATACATATTGCATATTATTATGTTGACTTTTGTATGCTTTTTCATCACGCTGGTTTTGCACTGTTTTTCAGATTATTTTATATTGATGTTCGTTCATTTATTTCAGATTTATGTTAGGTTTGATTGCACTACTGTTTGGCACTTTTGTTTTGACATCTGAGAAAAGGGTTTAGAGAATGTACCTGACAGTGATTTCACAAAATAGAAAAAATTAAAGATATGACAAAAGCACAGAAACTCTGACTTATTGCATTATGATTTAAATCCCTTACCGTAAGTTGACCATATAGTCCTCGTGGTTTCCTCGGTTCAAATGGACCTCTTTTGGGTAAATTAAGAGGAAGACGAGGAGAACAATCAATACCTCTATGGACTGTTTCCCTCTGTCCACAAAGTCACCATTGAAAACATAGGCTTTCTGTGGAGCTGGAAGGCCATTCTATAACGAGAAGTAATAATCAAACACCGAATGCAAGGCAGGACAAGGAAAGTGATTACGAATGAGCCATTCGATTTGATTGGACCAAGTCTCCTAATGTCTGGGGCCACCCTGAAAAGTAGCTTGAGTAAGGGCCAAACGATGTGATGTGGCAGCTTTATAATGTCTTCCTTCCAGGGATGTACCTTATTTTTCCATGTATAAGACTATATTTTTGTCTAAAATCTTTAGACTAAAAGTTGAAGGTTGTCTTATACACTGAAGTAAGACGAGGAGAGAACAAACACAAGTGGAGGGGAAAGCAGGGATCAAAGCGATCCTGCAGTGCTTTGATCCCTTCCCCCCTACACTTGCTAAGCCCCATTTAGATTTAGTAATTTGGGGTTTAGAAAACTGGGGGATGTCTTATACACAGAAAAATATGATAATTCCTTCAAAGCTCTTGCAGATAAAGCTTGAGTTGCAGACGAAGCCTGAGTTTACCAACTGCAAAACCAAAGCAAGTGAACATGCAGCATACAGAAGAAAACTTCTACTCAGATAAAATACATCTTTACCTTAAGGGACCCACTCTTCTAATGATATACTAACTGTATTGTCTAGCAGCTGATGCAGTTAAGGGGAAGCTGACTTCCAAAAAGTGGGACAAACAGAGCTGAAACGAAGAATCTGGAAGTTTAGCGGGGCTGGCTGAGTTTATTTTGAGAGTTTTGGATTGGTATATTGATAGGGTGGTGAGTCTAAAACTGCCTGTCTATTTTTCCAGGAGTGTGTATTCCCCTACCACTCATTTTGTGATGCCCAGATTATTCAGAACTTGAGATGTTGTACGTAGGTTTTTCATTATTTTGGTAGCCAAATAAAAGCTTTACACAACTTTTTTAAAAAAATTATTCATCGACCACATCATTCATTTTTTAAAAATACTTAATAATTTTCTTTTTTTCCCACTTCTTTCCTAATTATAAAGAACTGTACAATTCCTACTCAGCTGCACTACAATCCTCAAGACGATCAGCTGCCTTTTTTTTTTTTAAATGCCCATCCTTTATACTAGGTCCAAAGTCTGGCATACTATTGTGCACATAACCCTTACTAGCACGCGATACGTACCTTGTAAAATATCAAAAACAAGTCAGCCAGCTGACCGTGTAAGTCTCCTAATAAAACAAAAAGAAAGAGTTTCCTTTATAAATCCTTTTCTCCTACTTTTCACAGGTAGTCGTGTCAATCAAAATATGTCACTCATCCTAAAATTGTGAATCTGATTTTTCCTCTGTATATGTAGAACTTTACATTCACACCTTCTGAATCTGGTTTCGACTTGGCAGCTTTTCCAACTTATATTATGTGCCGTCAAGTAAATTCTGATTTATATATATTTTTAATTCACCTATAGCTGTCAATGAAGAACAACCACAGGACATACCACACACGGTGATCTCCTCGCTGTAGCAGGTGGAGATGTTTGTGATATTTGGCAGCTGCATAAGATACCTTTGGGCCTCATGGCAGAGTCTCAAGACGTAGTGAGCGTGAAGCTGCTACTGGGGAAAAAGGAGGAGGAAAGACAGAAGGACATCAGAGATGAGACGTTTCACCGTACATTGAAACTAGAAGGTCCAGGATCTTTGGAGGACATTATTAATTTATTTTCAGTTGTAAAATAAGGCAATACGGGACACTTGACATAGACACTAGACAAGAACTCTTGGCCTGTCTAACCAGTATTAGGTAGTCTGAATGGTATCTCTCTCCACAGTCCAAATCACAGAAAAATCTTCTTCAAGGAGCTTTGCTGGAAAAGCTCTTCAGGTGGAGAAAGCAAGCAAAATTATAAAACTTCAGACTTTCCCCCAAAACCTACAGGATGAAGCTTTGAGTGCTATTTTGGTCTATAATTCTGGGCTTGCCCTACTGTTGGGCAGAGTGTTGTAGCTGCCCCGGCAGCAGATGTTAGAGGTGCCAATATCCAACTCCACGAATTCCCAGTGTTACCCTGCTCCCGGCCCCTCCTACACTCATTTGAGGAAGTTATTGTTCATGGGTAAAGTAAGATTCAACTTCTAGAGCAATAAGGATCAAGGTAGACAATAAGTTTACCTTATTATTATGCAGAGGCCTTCCCTCGGGTGGAGAAAGAGAACTTGTGATACCATCTAATTTTTCTCACCTCTGTATCTTCTATTTATCGTGTTTTGCTCTGTGACTGGTCATTAGAAGGCAAGCTTGGGCTTAATTTTCCCAGAGTATCTCTAAGGATATCTCATCGTGGGGAGAAAAACTGAGGCTGAAGTTCAGGTACATTATTTGCAGAAACAGCTGCCTTGGCAGCAGATGTTAGAGGTGCCAATATCTGACTCCACGAATTCCCAAACTTAGCCTGCTCCCGGCCCCTCCTACACTCAGTTGAGGAAGTTATTGTTCATGGGTAAAGTAAGATTCAACTTCTAGAGCAATGAGGATCAAGGTAGGTAGACAATAAGTTTACCTTATTATTATGCAGAGGCCTTCCCTCGGGTGGAGAAAGAGAACTTGTGATACCATCTAATTTTTCTCACCTCTGTATCTTCTATTTATCGTGTTTTGCTCTGTGACTGGTCATTAGAAGGCAAGCTTGGGCTTAATTTTCCCAGAGTATCTCTAAGGATATCTCATCGTGGGGAGAAAAACTGAGGCTGAAGTTCAGGTACATTATTTGCAGAAACAGGTTAATTATATAGAGAATAAGCATTCCCCTCAACATCTATAGGCTGGTTTTATTACTATATCTTCATCCTCAATTTGACATTCATGAGGGAAATGTACTGATTAGTAACCAAGCACTTGCTCCAACCCACCATGTAAGTTTTCTCAGAAAACTGTACAGTTCAGCTGTGTGGTGATGTAAATTAGTGTATGCTTATCTTCTACCACACCCGTTTGACCCTAATTCCTTTTATTTAATAAAATGTGTCTAAATGCCTGCTTTAAGAAGACAAGGAGCAATCTCTCAGTTGTCCAAGTTACTTGTTTTTACACCCTGTGTATTTTAGATGAGGAGGGTGCAGGCTAAACTTTGTACAAAGATATTCGGAAACCCTTTCTCCTAGTAAATACGCAGAGCTTGTGAGTTTTTCCCCTCCACTGACATAAAAAGAGAGCAGGGGCAGATTTTAAGAATTAGGGAACACGGAGGGAAGGTGCTTTTTGCAAGTTGTCCACTTGTTCTCTTTCAAGCCACGGCCTTATCGACTGTTTAAGGATATGTTTTTAGAGTGGTTTAAAACTGATGGAACTTTGGAATAAAGTCACACACACCGTTTGAGTTTGGCATTCCTGCAGTCACTAGAATTGGTTGTAACTCAGTAATTACATTCAAAGCCTTCCTTTAAATATGTGTTTGTGTGTGTGTGTGTGTGGCCCTTTGGGTTTGGCATTCCTGCAGTCACAAGAATTGGTTGTAACTTGGTAATGAAGGTCAAAGCCTTCCTTTTAAATATATATACTGTATATATATTACTTGGATAATTTTACAAGTCCTAATTCTGAAGGTACGCAGCCTTACTCTTTCCTAATCACCAGGATTTAAATGCACCCACCGGCATTTAAAGCCTTAAAGGCGAGCCCTCCCTTCCAGAAGTTTAAAAACAAAACGAGAGGAAAGGCCACGACGGCTCATAGGATACTTACTTGTTTTTGCTTGAATGCTTCCAGTAAGGCAGCAGCATCTTCGGGGAAGAGAGGGAAGGAAAGACGGGGGCCCATATAGCTGTCTGGCACCACCACAGATTGGTAGTGGAGTGATTTTTCTAGTTTAATATCTTTCGTGACGTCAGGTTCTGATAATATGCGCTTAAGGAAATCTTCTAAGGGGAAGAAGAAGAAGAAGAAAACCAGCATGATTTTTATCTCAAGGACAGACAGCTAGGGTGTTGTTGTTGTTGGTCCTACTGTCCAGATACTGTTGGAGCACAATGACAGTCAACCCGGGCTACCACCGGAGCTAATGGTGATGGACAGTGGGAGTGACAGTCCATGAAAAACCTCTGCACCCGTTTTGGGGTCCTAAATCATGCACTCAGTTGCTTGGAAGCAACATTTAGATCCCATATTTTCAGCAGGGAACATACTACCAAACTGAGGTCAGGATATAAGCCAAGCAGCTCAGATGTTCTGGACCAACAATGGGAAAATGTTACTTTTTTAGGACTATACCTCCCAGAATACGCCAACCCACATGGGCAGCAGCCATTTATTCTGGGAAGTGTAGTCTGAAAACCAACCTTCCCCATTTCTGATTTGGACTACAGTTCCCATGCCCTTTAGCCCTGGAGATGCTGGGTGAGGCTGATGATGAGACGTCTAGGACAAAACAACTAGGACTTTCAAGTTCGTCAACCTTTCTTGACTGCCTGGGACTCAGGAAGCTGACTTTTACTGAGTCAGACCCTGGGTCCATCTAGCCTGGTGGTTCCCACTTTTGGGTAACCCCGGGTGTTCTTGGACTGCAATTCCCAGAAGCCTTCACTACCAGCTGTGCTTGCCAGGGTTTCTGGGAATTGCAGTCCAAGAACACCTGGGGTTACCCATGACTGGGAACCACTGATCTGGCCCAATGGTCTGGCTCTTCTGGATTTACAGGAGGATTCTTTCCTTGGCCTCACCTAGGAGTCTCATATCCAAGAACTATCCAGGCCTGACCCTGCTTAGCTTCTGAAACCAGCTAGTATCTTCAAGTTGGTTCACTAGTACTGTATGTGTGCAGTATTGATTCTACATGTTGATTCAACTCTCACACAGGCAAAAAGGTAAAGGTAAAGGTTCCCCTTGACATTTAGTCAGTCGTGTTCTACTCTAGAGGGCGGTGCTCATCCCGTTTCCAAGCCGTAGAGCCAGCATTTGTCCAAAGACAGTTTCCTTTGTCACATGGCCAGTGCGACTTAGATTCGGAACACTGTTTACCTTCCCACTGAGATGGTACCTATTTATCTACTTGCATTTACATGCTTTCGAACTGCTATGTTGGTGAGGAGCTGGGAGAAAGCGATGGGCGCTCATTCCGTCGCGTGGATTTGATCTTACGACTGCTTGGTCTTCTGACCCTGCAGCACACAAAGGCTTCTGCGGTTTAGCCCACAGCGCCACCACGTCCCAAACTCACACAGGCAAAGGACCCTTATTAAAATTTTCTTCTCTCTCTTTCTTGCTAGAAACAGAGGCTTCGGCAGAGATTTCATTTTAGACACCTCAGTGGCTTGCTAATATTTCCTTTGTCTGTGGAGGAGAGCAGTCAGGAACAGCTGTAAAAGCTTTATCAAAAACGGGTATTCCTATCCTGTACAGTTATAGCAGTTAGACGCCATGGCTCCACTGTATGGACTTCTGGGATTTGTATTTTAGCAGATGACTTAAAATTCTCTGTTAGAGAGCTGTGGCGCTCTACTTTGGGAGCAAAGCCTTGGAGTCCTCTGGCAGAGACGTTTAAGATCCTCACCAAAATGCAATTGCCACAGGGTGTAGTCCAAGAACATCTGGAGGCCCAAGGTTGGGGACCACTGGCGTATACCCCCGAGTCTCTTACTGTCCGTGTTGCAGGAAATGAGAAGTGAAAAACCTCTGTGCCAAGAGAGGAGAAAGGGATGGAGGCCTTTAATGCCTGAGCGATTCGTGAGAAGCCTCTGGAGAGTGGCTTTGGTTTCTCAGCCTACAGGTACTGTATATAAATGATTTTCTCTCATGTAATAAATTTCATAAATTATTTTCCTCATTCGTAGGGGATCACAAAACCCCGAGATGCAAAACTGTGCATATCAGATTTAGCCGATCAATTGTATAGCTTTGCTTCATTAGCTTACTTTCTTTCCTGCTGCTCGGTGTGAAGTGAGTCATAAGGTAGTCGAAGAAGTTGTTGAGCTGCAGAAGACCAAGGAAAGGAAAAGAGGTCATCTTTCATAATCAAAGCAACAAGGGTACCCTTAAGCATCACGTCTCTGTACAGTTCCTCTGTTTTTCCTATCATGCAGCACTGCAATGCATTTTAAGGACAGGCCGGATCTTAGGAGACACGGGTTCAAATCACTGGGTAACCCTGAGTCACCTACACATTTTTTATCTGAGCAACCTGCCAGACTTGCTATAAGAATAAAGTTTGGCATGAGGGGAACAGCTACGTTGATCTCCTTGAAGTAACTCAAGGGAAGATGTCATATCAATACAAGTACGTATGTGTGTGTGAAATAAGAAGTATATGAGAACTGCAACATAATATGAATTTTTCCTGCTCAGCGTTCCAGCCCCAAAGTCACACCCTTTCCCAGGATAATTCTTTCCTCTCTTTTTCTGATTTTAGCAGATATTCTGCATCTGCGCTCCGTCCTCTTCAGGTTATTCTTGGGAAGGAAACACGTAAAATTAATTTCTCAAATACTGTTTCGTGGTTCGGAAAAATTGGGAGGTTTTCCAAGCTGACAGATCTCTGGTCTTCTTGTTTGTGGGAAAGGGTCCTTTTGGCTCACACAGCCTACCTCTTGGAAATAAAAAGGATGACAACATGATGCAGTATTGATGGACTTGGGTTATGCTTCCATTAAAGTTTTTGAGAAGGTCTGGATTCTGTATGGAGGCTGATGACCTTGAACCCCAGGGATGTTAGCAAATCTCTGGGTCTGAGCGCTAAGTCCCATTTCTGAGTCTTTGGCACCAAGTTGCAAGACCCAAATTTGAGTCCCTGTGAAAAGCAAGCTTTTTTCTCCCAGAAAAAAAAAGGGAAGGGGTGGGTGGGTGGATTCCGAGTCAAGAGTCCAGTGTGAGTCACTAAACACAACAAAAGGGGGGAAGGGGTGGGTGGATCCCGAGTGAAGAGTCCAGTGTGAGTCACTAAACACAACAACCCTGAGTCATGTCACTGGTGTGACTTGAGCCCGACTCAACAGTGAGTCCTGCAAGTTGAGTTCTCATGCCTGTGAAATCCTTCCTTTTGAAAAACAGAGGTAAACCATGAGGCGAAATTCCTCATGTCACTACCTCATAACACAACTTTGAACAGTAATAAGAAAGACCTTCCCCTTCATGGGAGGCAGTGGAAGACAGGAGGGCCTGGCGTGCTCTGGTCCATGGGGTCACAAAGAGTCAGACACAACTAAACAACAACAACAACAAGATGAAAGACCTCCTCCCCCCCCCAATACCTTGAGGTGATCCTGTTCTCCTGAATACTCTATGGACTGAAAGATGCGCCCCTCCTCCCCCCCTCCCCGATACCTTGAGGTGATCCTGTTCTCCTGAATACTCTATGGACTGAAAGATGCGCCATGTACATCTCCGGCGCATTTCAAGTCGGGCCATGTAGCGTCGATACCATCTTTGGATCAGGATAGCTGCTTTAAAGGCTGGGGTTCAGAAAGACAGACATCAGACATAAACTCTCGATACAGTGATATGAGCTGGCTGGATAGCTCAGTGGTTTAGGGATCTGGCTGTGGAGCCAGAATTTGGGAGTGTGATCCCCCCCCCATGGTGCTTCCTTGGAGAAAAGCCAGTGTGTGTAGCCTTGGGCAAACTGCACAATCCCCAGAAGAAAGAAACGGCAAACTGTTTCAGGGAATTGTCTACTTCGAAAACCTTGAAAAGGGTTGCCGTAATTCAGAACTGACACCACATGATTATTATTTGATTACATTGATATGACAGTAGGACTTCCTCTTCTGAATACAGACGCATGAGCCTTATAGCAAACTGTTTCTGGGAATTGTCTACTTGGAAAACCCTGGAAAGGGTTGCCGTAATTCAGAATTGACACCACATGATTATTGATTACATTGATATGACAGTAGGACTTGCTCTTCTGAATACAGACGCATGAGCCTTATTTAAGGAGGTGTCATCAGGTACAGAGCTTTCTGGCATGAGACTTTAGCCACACCACCAGCTCAGACCAGAGACTCCTTAACTGAACTACAGCTCTTGAAATATCCCAGTCATCCTACTGGTCGGCAGATTCTGAAAAGTATGACCCCCCAAAAATATATATGTCCTTCAGCTCCGAATACCAACCATAGATTTGCCCAGGAGAAAGCAGTCCAATTTTAAAAATACACTTCTGTTGTGCTGGTGCAACATTACCCCGTACGGTTTTCAGTAAGCAAAATGGCAGCCAGCTCATGGCTATCCTCTACAAATCACAACACAACCACTTCCTGCCTGCCAAAGAAACCAGTTTCCATCACTTCTGCTCAGAGGAGTATAACTGTCTCCCCTCGGCCCACATGTGATTTCCTGTCTTTGCTTTGGGCTGGCAAAATTCATCAGAGTTTTGGATTTTGAAAATCCATGTTTTAAAAGGCTGAGAAAAAGGGGTGGACTAATCTGAGGAAATTCACCAGAGTTTTGGATTTTGAAAATCCATGGTTTACGTAAAAGACTGAGAAAAAGGGGTGGACAATTCTGAGGAATTTGAAGCTATTCTCCTCTGCGACTCTCCGCACTTCTGCTGTGCAGCTAAAGGAAGACCACCAAAGTGCCAAACCTCTGCAACCGGTTTTGGTGTACTATTTGCAATATATTCCAGTTTTCCTTTCTGATAGCTCTAGCACTCACACATGTAAGTGTCCTTAGAAATCCTTCTGCTTCCACCCACAATCTTGGAGGATCTTTGCTGTGCATTCATATCACTGGAAAATCTTTCAGCAGCCCCATCCTTCATGTCTCGTTTCCTTTCCATCCCGTCTCAACCGTTTTGATCTGTTCCAACCACTACGCTGAAGCATCCTTGGGCTTTCTATTGACATCTACAGACCAAGCGACCCGATTTCTCCTGATCTTTTCTGATGTCTGAAATCACCCAATTGGAAAAGGTGATAAAAAGCAAAAGTGCAACCTCTGTTTCCATTGGCTGGAATTTTAGGGAGTAACAAAATTCCATTCCAAAGCCTTTGTCTTATCTTAACTCCTTAAAGAATCCTGACGGAGGTAGTTTAATTGTGACCTCTTTGTGAAAGAGAATCCCAGCGCTATTGTACAAGATTATCGTTTCTCAGTGGTTCCCAACCTTGAGTTCCCAGATGCTCTTGGACTACAACTCCCAGAAGCCTTCACCATTAGCAGTGCTGGCCAAGGTTTTTGGGAGTTGTAGTCCAAGAACATCTGGGGGACCCAAGGTTGGGAACCACTGATCTAGATCCTTTGCTTATAAGAGAGTCTCTAGATATGAAGAGCTGTTCTGTACACGAAGAAGCAAATAGATAGGATAGGTAGTATTCACACAAACAACATTGTGACAGACATCACTGTTTCAGTTTGGTTACTGTACTGCCTCGATCTGGTACGCTAGTTTTGTGTTTACCCATGGCCACACCAAAACATTTTTCCATCTGAGCCGGAGCTGCAAGTGGCATTCTATTTATCCAAGTCAGGGAGTGTCATAAATAAAGTACAGTAGGACCACCTTATCCGTGAGATCAGTATCTGCTGATTCACTTATCAATTATCTGGACTTTTTTAAAAAATTAAAAATCTTAGAAATGCATCTTTCTAAATGTGAAGTTCCCAGAACTCGCCACTAGAGGGAACAAGAGACAATGCTATAGCATTTGTTATAGCATTGGTATAACATTTGGTAGAGGGATTTCTACAATTACCAGAATGGGCCACTAGAGGGAGCAAGAGATGGCATGTACTATATAATATTTGCTATTAAAATAGTGTTATGTACATTTGAACCTACGTTTTTCTGCATCCACGGAATAGCTTTGAACCAATCCTAGCAGATATGGGGGGTCTTACTATAGCTATGTTATTTTAGCTGTGAAGCAGCAAATCCCAGAAACAAACCCACAAAAGTAAAAAAAACACAACTAGGATAGCAACCTTCAGAGGTTGCTGTCCTCTGAAGATGCCCATGGCCACAGAGACTGGCGAAATGTCAGGAAGAACAACCTTCAGAACACGGCCAAAGAGCCCGAAAAACCCACAACAACCATTAGATCCCGGCTGTGAAAGCCTTCGCGAATACAACTAGAACAAATAATCTTGCTATCACGTGGAGTAATTTCTATCCTGTTAACTTACCGGGGTGAGATGAATCTGGCAATACCTGGCCTAGAGAGAAAAAGGAATACGTCAGCATATATTCAGATTTATATGGAAGGGTCATCAGAAAAGTTTCACATCCTTAGAGAGAGAAAGAAACAGCTTACTTTTGTCTTGGTTACACAGGAAGCTGCTGTGTGCGGAAGTGCCACATCCCATAGTCTTCAGACAACACACCTATGAAATGGCAAGGGACCACAGTAATTTACACGTTGCATAAGCTAGAAGCCAGCTGTCATACTAGATGTGAACTACGTACTGCCCTACTGGGGGAAAATGGTGCCACTTTCAGAGGATGATGGTACTACATGGAAGGATGATGGGAGAAGGATTGTCTCCTCTAGCCAAGGGGACTCGAAGCTTGTTCGCTCCAGTCTCCATCCAGCATTTTAAACATTTAGAACCTCACTGGTTCTAAATTTCTATCTAATCTACTATAAACAATGAGCTAAATCTAAACATATGTCCTTGCATTCCTGTGATAGCTGGGAAAAACATCAAGCACACTGCAAGCGCATCTGCTTGGAGGAAAGAAAGAGTGGTTTAACCTGTCTAGTCCATGGAAACATTAATTTTTCAGGATTATAGCTCTGAAAATCACCCAACCGGCTCTACTTGACTTCCACATACTGGCTCAATCTGAGTAATGCAATATTCAAACGAAGAAATTCAGTTTCCTGCTTTCTAACAGCTGAGGGCTCTTTGGAAGCAAAAGAGGTTTTGATTGCCCAGCTGGGTTTAAATCCAGAGTTGCGCCTTCTAGAAACGTGAAGCAGATTGCTTTCTTGGGTGCACTGACAATGACCAGATTCTCACGGCAGTCATTTAAAAGCTTCTGATGCGATGTCTCCACCATCACGTAGGCATCCTTCAGTCTCAAGAGACTATGGTAACATGTTCTGTATGGAGGTCTTGGAACAGCGTCTAGTGTGGCTGAGAAGGTCAATTTGAGAGTGACAATCCCTTCCACACTGAAGAAAAATACAATCTGTCCTCTGTCGAGCTCCCTGATTTTGCTGGTTTCAGGACTGCCTCTTTGCCTCGGCCTGCTGGACAAGGTTCTCTTCAAATTGGGAGAGGCCGTGATGCATTGCCTGCCTCCAGGCTGAATGCTCAGAGGTCAGGGTTTCCCATCTGTTGACGTCCTTTCCTGCGGCCTTCAGATCCTGCTTGCAAATCTCCTTGTATCGCAGCTGTGGTCTCCCTGCACTAATTCTCCATCCAGGAGATCTTTTGGAATCTGACCATCAGCTATTCTCACGACATGCCCAAGCCAACATAGACGTCAATGTTTCAGCAATGTATACATACAAAAAATTCCAGCTCGTTCTAGGACTACTCTATTTGGAACTTTGTCCTGCCAGGTGATACCAAAAATGCATTGGAGACAACGCATATGGAACGTGTTCAGCTTCCTCTCCTGCCATGCACAAAGGGTCCAGGACTCACTGCAGTAGAGGAGTGTGCTCAGGACACAGGCTCTATAGACCTGGATCTTGGTATATGCCGTCAGCTTCTTATTAAGCCAGATTCTCTTTGTGAGTCTAGAGATAATGGTAGCTGCTTTGCCAATGCGTTTATCCAGCTCGACATCTAGAGAGAGGGTGTCAGAGATTGTTGAGCCAAGGTACACAAAGTCATGACTAACCTCCTGGGGATGGTAATCGAGGGAGGTGAGTCCACACCCTGGCCCATGACTTGTGTTTTCTTCAGGCAGATAGTTAGTCCAAAATCTTGGCAGGCCTTGCTAAAACGGTTCATAAGTTGTTGGAGTTCTTCAGCAGAGTGGGCAACAATGGCTGCATCACTCTCCACCACATGGAATGAAAAGGGGCTGTGATCGTCCCCTGCCTTTCCATGTGGTACAGTCCTGGAACCTTTTTTATTTCCTAATAGGTCTGCCTGGTGGTGGAGAGCTGGAATCTGCCAAATATTATGGATAGGGATTAAGAGGTCTTGCTGAACACAGAAGGGGGTATAAAACCCTGAAAGGCAGGAAGAGGTACTTCTGTGGAATCACCATTCTTCAGGAATTCCCTCCAGAGGCTGGACGTAATGTCTCCAGTTTAATGTCTTAACATTAAAATAGCTACTTTTCCTTAACAGGCGGTCAAGCCAAATGATGCATCTACACTATAGTGTTTTGAAAAAAAAGAACATTTAAAAAAATGTTTTAACATTGTTTTCCAAGCATTCGATGCATACCTCCTATTTAACGCAAAGATAGTGATATTGACGTTAACATGTCTACCTCGTTCAATAAGGTCTCCTGATTCTTTTGTGCCTTACTTTGTCAAGTGGCTGCCAGGGCTTCAATCAGAAAGAGGGGATGAGGGGGGGTCAGTTTCTGCCTCCTCAAGTTGCACAAGATTTAGGCATTTAAGTTACAGTTATCCTTACTACAACCCTGTGAAGTAGGCCGGCTGGCAGGGAGTGGCTGGTCCAAAGTACATTCCCACGGCCCGCTGGAGACTCAAACCTTGTTCGCGCCAGTCTCCATCCAGCATCTTAAAACATTTAGAACCCCACTGGCTCTAAATTTCTATCTAATCTACTATAAACAACAAGCTAAATGTAAACATTCTTATCCGTGCTCTTCTCTGACTGTGATATTGCATATTTATGGATTGACTAACAGAAAACTAGATGCAATGGAATGATGGATGATGATCCTCTGATTAAAAGTTAATGCTTGGGAACAAGATGGCATAAGCATTTTGAATTGCAAAACGGTTCATGAGCGCAACAATGTATGTTTAGATTTAGCTTGTTGTTTATAGTAGATTAGATAGAAATTTAGGATTAAGTCCTGGGTAGTGTTTATAACTCTAAAAAAATACTACTGCTGGACCAGTGTTCAATCTGAAATGACCAGCAGGTGCTAATACATGATCAGCTTTGTTAAATACATACTCCTTTTGCTCACCTTCTTCCTTTCCTTGGTGGTGATGGATGTCTGTCACATCATTCCTGTGCATTCGTTCTCAAGGAGCAAAGCTCGAAACACATGTGACGTATTTCAGATACTGAGGCTCAGGAGATCTCGGGCCTCACCTAGAAGAGAAAATTAGATATAAGTTTTGGAAATGTTACAGATGAAGAGACTGGTTGAAACGACATGAAAGCTGAGATATGTATTCCTCTTGTCGTTTCAGTAAGCCGAGCGCCAACATTTTCTCGCTCGATGCTCTTTGTGTTTTCACAGCACCCTGGCAGAGCAAACTACGGCTGGGCAAGAACAGCCTTTCAAAATTCTCCCCTCTATTTGTGGGGAAAGAAATCAGGGAAGAATTTTATCAGGTTTCTTCAGAAGAAGGAAAAAAAAATTCTCCAACAGTTTGTTAAATGTTTTATTCCAGCCTTTTCTCTCACCACCCTACCCCCGTTACCCTTTTCCTGGGAGGAAATTAATGTACCCAATTTCTGATCTGGTGTGAGCAAGACACTTGGTCACATCCTGGTAATAAATAGACCTAAACTTAAGTGAAGGCAAGATTTAGGATTAAAAGATGGCAATAATACAGTTTCAAAAATACAGAGGCAATTTCCTTTTGCACTGCATTACACAGGATAGAACATTTTTAAGAGGGTTGCTTGTGTTTTCCAAAGGTGTGATCATAGTTTATTGCCCTTTGGTGTTTGTCTTGTTCCCAGTTTGTCTTAAGGCTTGTTCATAGTGAAACTTGGTACTTGATGTGCACAACCTGCATTTACAGAGCCTTTATCACATCTTAAAACAGCACACAAGTGACATCAAAACCACCCTCCAACATGACTGC